TTGAGAGGCAACCTGCTCCCATGACATACGGATATTCGCGATGACAAGCAGAGTATATTCCCAGTCAGGTAAGAGAGCTGCACTCTTAAAAGTACCCCTCGTATTAATAATATTAATAAAGAAAGAAATGTCAGGGCCTATCAAATCAGTACTCTATTTGGATCTTCGGGACACATAAGCAGAAGGACCAAAATGACACATGACCAGTGCTCAAACCCGAGCCACCGCACGATCGATCAATGGTGTACATCGATCGAGCACGATCGAACCAACAAAGACTGGCTTTGCGTCATTCGGCGCCGCTTTATCGGGGCGTTTGGGGATGGGGCCGTGACCCGTACCTTTTTTTTTGAGGTCTAAAATTGGCAGGGGAAGTTCATGGTCAGACGGACACTCTCCACGCTTGTACTTTGTGTTTTGACCAATAATCCGTCGATGACTATCCCCGTCCCAACTCCAATCTCGCTAGGACCGGGGCCCAGGCTCGGCTCATTCCCCACTAATCCAGGCTGGGGCGGGCCGGGGATGGCGGTCCGGGAGAACTAAAGCTGTCAAACGCCAAATCAGGTCTAGCGTGTGCTCCACTATCCCAAGGGAAAGGTCAAAGTTGGGGATCATAGAGTCAAAAGGCTCTACCCGACGGGTTGGGATTGATGAAGAATTAAATTTCGCATTCATTCACCACATTTGGTAGTTGAAGGTTTCAGGAAGCGAGATTCCCAAAATGCGAACTATGACTCTAGATCGGCTCACAATTAGCCAAGGTCGTAAACAAAAGTTCAATTCGTATGTGCCCTGGTGATAGTATTGTTGATCATAACCTCATTTCCCTTCAGCCAGTCCCAATGAGCATCTTAACCGGGGAAGATTTGCCTATCTCATTGTAAGCGAAAAAATAACATTACAAATAGGCATCCGGTGGCTTTCGATAATTCTCAATGCATTCCAAATGGATATGCAATCTTTCTGGTCCCTGCCGCCCTGTAGAACAATGAGAAGAAGAAGAAGAAGAAGAAGAAGAAGAAGAAGCAATATGAAACCACAGGCAATCATCTCTCCATTGTGGCACGGCCCGGGGGGCCGCCCATAGTGTCCCTACAGGTCGGGCCAGCGCTACTGCGGTTCATACATTGTCTCCCATTGTGCTGCAGATGGAATATAGTTCCGTCTACACCGTACACACTTTGATATAGCTGCAACTACAAAATTCATTACGTTTACCCCTGAGGCTATCATCTTGATCTAGTGTATCTAGTCTATATACGATGCAGGAGTAAACCTTGGCAGATGGGCGCAATGCCCAAGCTCTTACACACAATTCGTACTTTGTCCCTGGTCAGTCTGACTAGATTGGTTGAATTTTCTTCAATGCATGATTTGCGATCCACTTCGCGGGTCCATCCTTTGAACTCGCTTAGTCCTGGGATAGTTAGGAGGCACCCTTGCAGCGGAAAATAACTCCGGTCACCGTCTCCGTGGGGGCCAACGTGGAAATTATCTGCACACAATATACACATGTAAGGGGAGAAACGCCATGTTGAAATTTCTATCAAATGTCGATGGAGAGGGCTTAGTTCGAACCCAGAGTCTCGAGGTCTAGATTACTCCTGGTAAACTTATTTTCCGTTCAAAAGAACACACAATCAAAGATAGCCCCAATGTGGGGAGTTCCTTAATCTAGACAAAAGGGTCCCAGATACCTGGATGAGTTGCATGGAGACAGCCGGAGGCTTTACCAAAGAGGGTCCTTGTATCGTACTTTGCAACTTTCACCCACAGCCAATCACACTATTCTTCCTAGTTCCTTTGACTTGTAAAACTCTACTAAGAAACTGTAAAATCTTCCCCGGGCCATGCCTAAGCCCCAAACCTTGACGAATCCACCGTAGCGGAACCTCGCGATCGCGTTTACAGCACGGCCTTTTGTTTCTCACATATCCTGTTCCCGCTAGTCTAGTTTCTTAGTGTCCGCTTATCCCCGATCCGCGGACCAATACCGCCGCTTGATGACCATATCTGTCGTCTGCACAGACGAGAAAAATTGCCCGAATCAGCGCCCACAAGATCGTCTCTGGGATCTGTGCTTTATCCCGATCGAGTGGTGACGTTAAAACGGATGTCAACATATAGACTTTTGAGGATCTACTTGATTCGGGATCCAGTGAACAAACTGGAGCCCGATAAACCTAACCTCTTTCACCCATTCAACTTCCCCTAAGGCTTGATGACCCTCTCTCCTACCGCCTCCCGATAAGGCCCGATTTTCATGCGAGTCAGTGGCTGGGGAAAATGCATTCTTGCGGGGCGTGTGACAAATAGTCCTCGACATTCCCATTCGCTCCAGAATTAAGGTGCATGCCATTATTACTAACTACTGACTGTGGGCTTTCTGCGTCGGTAGATGTTCTCTAACAGGAAAGATGAGGACGTGCATGAAGAAGCCACTTCCATTCCTTAGATTCACTCGTTTCCGAACTACTCGACGCAAGGAAATATCCACATGTCTAAAGGTTTAATCAAACAAGTCGTTAAGTTCTAATCTAAGCGTCATCGGGTCTATTTTCCCCTCGATAACCCTAATTCCCACTTCCTATTGTGCGAGTCTTAGCGTCTGACGGGGAGAAGCGATCCTTAGATTCCGCCACATTGGTTCTCTAGGGCCACAATGTATGCATCGTGCATCGTGCATGAAATTGTCGCGGTGTGCGGTGGTCTTGTGGGTATAATTTCCGTGGCTGGCTCCCCTCTACCCCTCAGGGCTGAGTCGATCGTAGGCCTGCAGGGCCTTCCAGTTCCCGTTACAGTCTTTATAATTCCAGATGTTTCTTCGAATATCTATTTTACTGACATGCAGGTCATTCATGCCGTTGAACTTTTTAGGAATAAGTATATAACCGAGAAAAAAAAAGATAAAGATGTCTCTCAATCTATCTCAGATTGCTGGTTCCTTTAGTATATGTGTAGAACTGGAGCGCCGGTAGCGCGCATAGTGGATAATGCAGAAGACAGTCATTACTCTATACAGAGACGGGATCAACTTCCGGGTCGCACAACCAGCTTCCAAATCGCCCGCCACTCTGATGCACACTGTATATCAATGTACGTATATCAATGTATGTATATCAACGTACATGGAGTACTTTGTACGATCGACTGGGAAGCGGGGATGACAGTCTTGGGTGACTACCAGTTCGAGTGGAGGCGTCGGGCTAAGGGCCAAAAGAGGAAGTGGATTAATGCACAGTCTCAAAAATAGCGAGCAACGCAGATTCGCTTGGAAGGCTCGATTCTTCCCCGACTGGAGCTATCCGGAAACCTGGATGTCCGTGCGATATTTGCAAACATTACTTCTTTTGTCGACGTGCACCTAGATGGTTCGCGATCTCAAGATCTCGATTCTTTTTCTGGTTCGTCAATCTCCCCATTCAGCAAGATCAAGGAAGCAATTTGTCCCCCGGAGCCCACAGGAGCCCACAGGAGCCCACATCAGAGATCAGTCATGCACCTTTTCGAGGTCATCCCTTGCCTAGTATCGAGATAGCTGAAACAGATTCAGGACGCAGGTCCACAGCCAATCAGATTCTAGAAACGGGGGAAAGGTCGATAATGCCATGCGATTAAGATCACGGTTACGTTTCCACGCGAGAAATAGAGGGATATCCCTTGTGTTTCAAAATTGTCAATCTTTACTAGAAAGCTCGCTAGATTAAACATCTGACATGCGAGATGCTGACATTGCCCCTCCTTTGGCCCCCTCTCAAGGACTTCTCTTTTCCCTCAAATAGAAATCTCGGAAATTTCAGAGATTTTAGAGATTTCAGAGATAGAGTACTTCAAGATATTCCAATGTGGGAACACAATTCCCCTTTATCTAAACGATTTCCATGCATATATAATTCCAACGACCGCGTGGACAGTCTGTTTTGCAGGCAGCAAGGAGGTGTGCAAACCGCCTCGTAAACGTACATATTTGAAATTGGCATATCTATTTTTTTTTCTATCCCCGGGGTATTCTCAGGATGTGACCGTCGAACCAGAGAGAAGGGGGGGGGATCGTGTGGCGGATGAGGGCCAGGGTGCGTTAGTTTGCATCATTTGATCATGTCAAGTGAAGATGGCAATCTTAGGCTTCATGTCCTGAACACACTAGATAGGCAGAGCTTACAATTTGTTATATTGCTGACCCGAACGCCTGCGAACAGACGTATGATGAGCAGCCAGGTGGCCGACCTTTCACCGCTACAATCAGTTGCTCTGATGGGATATCAAGAGATGTCACCGCCACGTTTAGTACAAGACGCTACTGCAGATAATCATCGACGGCTTTGCAACAGTCGTTTGCTAATTTAGTTTGACGCAGAGTTACGTTGTTCAGCTGGGGTCTAAACAATGTCCATTTTTGGGGGATTCTAGTTATTTCCGTAGTCAGGTTATTCACATATGAACACGCCGTGCACGGTCACAATTCGATCAAACTGTCAAAGCAAAAAACGAAGGGAATGTAAAAAGGAATCACTTCTTATCTGGTGGTTCGCAGGGCCAAATCCAATCGGAGCTCCTCGAGCGCACATCGAGGCAAGCCATGCCAACATGAAACATACCAATAGACTCGAGGACATATTAATTTTTTTTTTGCTCGCCCAGGAAATTGAATTTAGCCACTCTCCACTGTTTATGTCCGTCTATCCCTGTCAGGGGAGCGTCCCCTGGTGCAATGAAAAACTTTTCGTCAGTACATGTACATGCATATATGCACACCACCCGCGCCACATTCAGGACTATTTAGCCGTGTTTGAACGGTCAACAAATATCTGTTGTCAACATCCATGCAGCATCCGGGACCTCCCAGGATCGGCCCGAGGTACTAAAAAGAAAACCCGGCCTCCCCGAGCCACTCAGAGCTGCATGGATGGGGCGAATTCAATGCTGGCTGGCTGACCGATCCTTTTTGTCATGAACAGGGAATGCGGGGATTTGAGGCCACTGCGAGGGATTGGATTTTACGCCATTTGCGAGGAGGCAATACCACCATCGCAGTCGAGCAGGCCGGCCTCCTTGGCAAGCTCATAGAATTGGCCACCACTCTTGATCAGCTCTGCAGGGGTGTCGAATTCCGCCACTCGCCCCTTGTCCAGAACTACGATCCGATCCGAGTCAATGATCGTGTTGATGCGGTGCGCAATCGTGATGATAGTCCGGTCAGAGAAGATGCTGCTGCGTAGGGTGCGTTGTAGCAGCGCATCCGTCTCCACGTCAACTGCGGCCTATCGCCATTGTTAGCCGAAACTGTCATTCGAAAGTAAAAACACAACTATCTTACGGTTGCCTCGTCCAGAACAAGGATATTACTAGGAGTCAAAAGAGCGCGCGCGAGAGATACCAGCTGGCGCTGGCCTTGACTCAGGTTGGAGCCTGCAGTAATGTGTTAAGGGACTGGATGCCTTAGTCAATGTTTACAGGCAGACAGTTACTCACCTCCTTCCTGGATCTGAGCATCCAGTTGTCCGTCCATCCTTGAGACATGGTCCTTCAATCTCGCGTGATCTATTTATTACAGACGGTTAGTCGCTGAGATGGAATAGGGTTCAAGTTAGACTAACCGATAACGCTCCAAAGCTCGGTGTCATCGTGGACATGACGAGGATCTAAGTTGTCACGCAAAGTGCCTTCAAACATGGCGGGATCTTGAGGGATGATAGCGAGACGTCCACGAAGATCAGTCAACCCAATTGTAGACACGTCAAGCCCATCAATACTAAATTTTTGTTAGCCTAAAGGGCAAATTCAAAGGTGAGAGGGATATGTTCTTACTTGATGTTTCCTTCAATGCCCTCAATAATGCGGAAGAGAGCCAGCGTCAGCGAACTCTTTCCGGCGCCGGTTCGGCCAACAACACCGATCTTCTCCTTGGGCTTGATGTTGAGATTAACATCCTTGAGCACGAGGTCAAGTCCAGGGCGATAGCGGGTGCTGTAGTTATTGAACTCCACCGCACCTTGAGCCGGCCAGCCGATGGCAGGGCGACGCTTGAAGATCACCTCGGGTGCCTCGCTCGGGAGGTTGGCGTACTCGAGAACTCGCTCAACGGACACGATGTTAGTCTCAACCTCGACAGTCTGGCGGACAATCCAGTTCAGAGACTGTGTGATCTGGAGGGCATATGACATGGCCAAACCGACCATGCCTGGCGAAAGCTTGGTGCCAGTCGCAACGGACATAATGGCCAGTCCAGCGGATGCAAGAATGATGATTGAACCAATGAACTCAAGTCGAACGGCGAGCCAGCGGTTGGCACTGATGGACGGGAAGTAAGCCCGGAGATTAGCATCCATGCGCCATTCGTTCTCAAGGGCGAACCGATTCTCCTGTCGGTAGGCACGGATGGTCGAGATTCCGCCCAAGGATTCCTGGAAGTGAGCATAGATTGGGCTTCGGGTGACACTGTCCAAACGCTTCAACTCGCGGGAGGTGCTCAGATAGTACTTCTGGTAGCTAAGGTAGATATAACCCAAAGGAATGATGAATATCATGAAGGCCGGGGTGGATGCCGAAATGACAATCATGGTAAATATCGCACGGGCAGAGTTTGCGAACAACATGTTGAAAGTGCGAGCAAGTACCTCATCAACTCTGTAAATGTCACTAGAGAAACGGTTCAGGATGCGGCCAGATGGTGTGGTTTCAAAGAAGCTCATGGGGGAGCGGAAGATAGCAAATGCCATCCGCTCATGAAGTTTTCGAGATGCTTCGATAGAGCAGAAAATCCACAGGATCAAGTTCTGCACAATAACCAAGAGAGATGATCCCAGGCCAAGCGCCAGGTAGACACCAATGAACTTTCCAACCTTATCATTGGTTCCATGGGCTTCGTTCCACTCAGTCCAGCGCTTCAACCAAAAGTTACCCACGACTTGAGCAGTCTGAGCAGCCATCATGGCAATCAAATAAACCACGACTGCCATGACATTGCTATCCTTTGCGTATTGACCGTAAACACCCCATTTCACTTTGCCTTGCTCTGAAGTCTCTTGGGTCTGCTTGCTCTTGAGAACGTTCTCCTCGTCTCCCAACTTGCGCCGGGGACCTTGCCAGCTCACAGTGCTTGCACGGCGCAAGGTGACGGTACTGGTCCGTCTGCGGGCCTCGCCGCCACCACCACCTCCTCCTCCCCTGATGGGAATAAGGTCACCAATTTGTTCAACGTCCTCGCTGTCCGACGCACCACCGTTCTGGATTATGGTGGTTGTGACTGAGCTATCGGGGCTGGCAAGGTCTTCAGAGCCATTAGCAGTGCCTTCATCGTCCGAGTCAACCATCGTAGAGCGAACGAGATTGCAAATCTCCCCCTTCATGGCCATCAGTTGTTCATAAGTTCCTTTTTCGATGATGGTCTTGTCCCGCAACAGGCCGATGAAGTCAGCCTCTTTGAGTACAGTAATTGCGTTCGTTGCAAGAATTCTGGTCTTGCCACCGAGGAGGCCAGATTTGCCAAGCACTCGGTTGATGATGTGACGTCCAACATGCTGATCAACCGCTGAGAGAATATCGTCCAGAAGATAGATATCAGCACGAGCGTAGACAGCTCTGGCGAGTGTCAAACGTGCCTTCTGTCCCCCTGAAAGGGAAATGCCACGTTCTCCAACTTCGGTCTGGTCACCATCAGGCAAGTTCTTAAAGTCATCGAGCAAAGCACAGGCTTCAACGGCGAGGTCATAGAATGAGGGGTCCCATCGGTGTCCAAAGACAATATTTTCTCGGACACTGGCATTCATGACCCACGGCGTTTGGGCAACGTACGCGATCCGACCACGTACAATCACCTCTCCCTGGTTCTTCCACAGGTCACCCAGCAATGACTGGAGCAGAGAAGATTTTCCAGCGCCAACTCGGCCAACAATACAGCTGAGCTCTCCCTTGCGTGCACTGAGATCGATGTTTTCCAGCACAGTCTCCCCAGTATAACGGTTCCAAGTAAACGAGGCATCGCGAACTCGGACTGACTCGTCACCAGGATGCGCCACGGGATCTTGGAGGACAACGGCATTAGTCTGCAGCTCCTCTGCAGTGAAATATTTTATCAATCGCTTCACGGCCACGGAAGATTCGATAATGGACGTAATGACCATAGGCAAGATAGAAAGCGGGAATGTGAGCAAGTTGAACAACGTCAATGCAGGGAACACAATCTCAGTAGTCAAAGGTTTATCATTCGTCAACACAAAAACGGTGAATGTGGAGCAGGACACGAGGAAAGGGGTAGACTGCCAGGTAAAATTGGCAACAGATTGAGTGGCTCCAATTTTGCGGAGCGTGTTCAGCTCAAGATCATTTCTGATATGGCTAAGCTTGTTCATGAAGGCTGTGTTCCAGGCATAGAGCTTGATACTCTTGATATTGTTCAGAATCTCAGTCATTAATCGGGTCCTTGAGTCCTTGTTCTTCATTTGGATGATCTGCAACCTCTTCATCATCCGAGCAATGATACCATTCAGAGGAATCATAAGAATCATAACTCCGATACCAGCAAACATGCTCACTCCAACAAGCTGGTAAAGGGAGATCATGCACAGGGTGATTTGGAAAGGTGCAGAGATAAGCTGAGTGCCGAACTGGGTCAGATCTGCAAGGCGCTGCTGATCAACTGCCATGTGGTTCACAATATCACCGGTCGTCTTTGCCGAGCGTCCTTCGTTTGATAGTTTCAACGACTTGGCATAAATCATAGCAGTCAGGGCTGATTTGACTCTCATACCAGTGTCGAAAGCACGTTGGAAATATTGATGGAGGAAACTGGTCTGGACGACAGAAACAGCAAACATGGCCAAGGCGATGGCGACACCCCTGATGATCGGGTCCGGGTCCGGGCCCCGATACGAGTCAATGAAAGCAATGAGAAGTCGTAGGAGTTGCGGTTGCACAAAGGCAAGTATATCGCTTCCGGATTTGATTATCGCACCACGCACATAGGGGGCACCAAAAGCCTTGAAGAGCGCTATCCACAGAGATGGGTTCTTTTTCTCAAGCTGTTCATCCCATGCCTCCTTCAGGGCATTGCCTGTGGCTCGGGTGGTATCACGACGGCGGAGATTCCAGAGGTCATCTTGGGTCAAGTAGTTTTTGTATCCATATTTCATCATCGGGGTCATCCAGCCGAAGGTGAGAACCGAGAAAACATCGGCATAATTGTACGGACACTCATCCTCGTCTCCCAGCGCATCGTAAGCGCTTTGCTTCTTGGGTACGAAATATTCTAGCACAAATTCAAGGATTGCTAGTCCCAAGCTGACATTGAAGCAGACAAAGTAAGGGAGTTGGTCGATGTGTTGCTTCCGCGCAATCAGGGACCGGAGTTTGACCGCATACGCGATAATGAAGAAGAGCCAGTAAAATAGGACAACCCCATTGGGCTGTCTACTCCGCCAGTGTTCAAAGTACTGTACTGAAGTTATCACTCCTAACGAAACGATCGTTAGGACCGAGGACCAGAAGCGAAAATCGGTCCAAAAGCGCTTGGGGTCTGATTCGGCTTGGATCGCAGCTTGAAGAGCGGTGACAACGATGAGAGCGGCTAGAACGACCTATGAGAAAAATTCAAGTCAGCACATTATCAATAAGGTCCACGGGTGTGTGAGGGTGTCCGGCATGTACTAACCAACTTGGCGTAGAAATGCCAATTCTTCGATACGGGCTGCGGAATCCGCTTCCTCAGTAACAACCACAAGGCCGCCAGTCCGCTCAGCGCACCCCACACAGCTACTATTGCCACAGTCACATCAAGAAAGCATGGCGTCAGATCAAATCTCAATGAGCTGATGGGGCCCCAGCCCTCGCTATCAGTGCAGAAAGGCTGTCGCCGGGAATCAAGTGCCGATCCAAGGGAATGCAAGAGGTGCCCCGGGCGGGACGCCTCTAGGACCACCTGGGATTGGCCATCCAGCATTTTTCTGATTGACTTCGTCCCAGTATACCTTTCTGTGCACAAGCAAGAAAAGATACGTTGGAGAACCTCAAAGGAATAATGGAGGTATTGGTGTAAGAGCTAAGCTGCTGACTAAAAGCAAGAACCCAGCTCCGCTTTACGATGGGGAAATCCCGAGTTCGGGGCTATTTACCGTGCTCATTTGAAGTCGATTTATTACATCGTACATGTACACATGGAGACAGGGTTGGAATTCTTGCATGAAACTTGCGTAACATAATTAACAAATTAACTAGACCTTGGATAACCTCATGTTCACAAATTTTCCCATGCTCTCACGTGATCTGGAACGACGTAATCCTCGGGGATAAGCAAACACTAAGACCGATGCGGCTATTTGCCAAGGTTGGCTTATCAATTGAATTCTGCCAAGATTGGGGTTGGTGGTTTCTAGAACTGTTTATAATGCTGGTCATTAAATCGATATTGATATATGTGTTGTATTCGTATAATGTCCACAGTAAAATAAGCTTACATATGTATATCCTTTTCTTCTACAGATAACCAATTTTCAAAACATTATAGCATAATATATCTCTTGGTTGGTGCTATATATATATATATAAAGAAAACCTCAGATTTCAATCATTTTCCTTCATAAATCCCTCAATGACCTTTGTTATTTTTTCATTTCCCGAGATTTGTGCATACTCAGCTGCGCTACCCCAGTTCCCTCTTATATATGGATCTGCTCCATGCTCTAACAACCACTTGACCCGCTCAACTGCTCCTGCCATCACCGCATACACAATCGCATACTGTGCGACCATATGTCGGGACTCTTCTTTCTGATTAACATCGGCCCCACGATCAACCAGTAGTGCCATTACAGGAATTCTACTAGTATCGAATTCCTGACTCGGTACCACGCAACCAGCATGTGGGTTCGTACCGGGAGGACAAGCCCCGGCGGCATAATGCAGCGGCACGCCGTTTTGGATCTTAGCGCCTGCATCTAGAATCATACGCACAGCTTCAACGCCTCCATTAGCTGCAGCTGCTTCGAGTGCAACACACGAGGAAGTATCTGGCCCACCACGCCTATCATGACTGGTTTGCTGCACCCCAAGGTTGGGATTGGCTCCATGGTCGAGGAACCAACGAAGAAGAGGGAGGCTCTTGACGGTCCGAGGGAGAAGGGTACTACCGTAGTGACCTGTGGTGTTGGGAGTCCATCCATGCTGGGTAAAGAGCTCAAAGAGGGCAATCTGTCGTTCCAAAGGTACAAAGAAGATATTGCTTGGAGTTTCGCGAACAATTGGTGCGCCCGTATCGAGGAGATAACGAGCAACCTCAATATTGCCAGAGCGTAGGGCACGTGTTAGACCATGGTGAAGAAAAGCGGGTGTGAGATTTTCAGGTGAGACAATGGACTGAATGATGGAGAGGGGGCCGTGTTGGCAGGCGGATTCAAAGGACCCGAAGAAGGCGGGAACTTCACCAACCGGCTTAGGATTTTCACCGATGAAAATAATGTCAGCAAGATCCAGTATGGGGAGGTCATCGTATTTAGACCCCATTGTCCCTGATTGAGGTTGCATTTGCTGTCGTAAAGTAGTGTCACTATTGCTGCTGGTGCTCGGTTGTTGCCTAGCAGCCATCGTTTGAATTTGATGTCGGCGTGCATTTAGCATTAGCTGTTGTTGGGAAGACATGTTGCCCACAGCAATCATAAATTCTCGTCTTCTGTATATATTGGATTTTGTCCAAGTCGAGAGATTGACCAGGGGATGGGCCTTGTGATGCTAGTCATGTGACGGCCTAAATAAACGACTGCGTTCGAATATGTATCGGCCAATCAAGGATCCAGGCATTAATTTAGGTGGGAAATCAACATCATGGGTTGATTGGGGTATGTTATGTCTCGAGGATCAACACACCAATTCGTTAGCCATTCATCGGTCTCACTCAGTTAACCTAATGATATGAATCTTGCAGTCAGTCGTGCTGATGGTCACATGTATAAGTATCTTCTTGCTAGCTCTATTCCACTTATTTGAACTCATCCTTGAGAATAAAATTCTACCAGGAAGACTGCGCTATAAATAGAGATCCTTCATTCCTGACTCTAATGACATCCTCTTTATCATTCAAGGCCTGACCTGCCTACACGCCAAAACGAAAATGTTATTAGCTTCCTAGTAATAGAAAGTGGTGTTTGCAGCAATGCTCACAACCCTATTGTATCTAAGCCCAAGCAAACAAGCTTTATTGTCATTGTCTCCAGCAGTAGCTCCGCATACAGCTCTTTCAATGTGATAGTTTAGTCACCATCATATAATTATTCCCTTCACAAAGTGTCCTCCCCCCCCCCAGCTTCTTCTGTCAGAACCAAAGGTGTCCAATGCAAAATCTACTTTACTAGAACAGCAAGAGCAACACCATTTCTTAATTATCGAGTGGGACCTTATCAGCAAGTGCTAGCACTAGGGAAATTGCCTCCACCAGTTCTAACCAATATTCGAGAGTCCGAAGTAGCATTGAATGTGTATAATATTTCTACCCACACTACAGTCTCCGACTCTACTCGGATTGGAAACCCTCCGCCAAGTCAAAGGTGCTTAGAGTGAAATTGAAGATCTCACATCTGACCTGGGTAACTCTTCTTTGTCCTCGGAATGCGGTGCAAGGCGAAAGAGATGTTTAATGTTCTCTGCTGGCCACATCATGGCCACATCGTCCTGTCTCGAGGAGAGGTTGGAGCTCGTTTCAGTTGACATCAATATGGATGATGTTGAAGCATTTAGATACACTCTGGAGGATCTTATTAGTGAAGATTCCACTATCTCTACAACATCCTGCTCACCCTCAACTACTGCTACCACAATTATACCGGCTGAGAGTTATGGGATTGCTACATGTGCCAGAGTCACAAGTCTAACACAGCCTGCCTCCAAGGCAAGTCCCTCTAGTGGCCAATAGAAGATCATGGTGATCAGTCCGTTGACTGCTTATGCTTTCCAGGACTTTTCTACTCCCTACAGTAGCTATGTTGAGAGCTTGACACCAATTTGGATTGACCAGCTTGGATTGGTATCTGCACAATGGTTTGACTATCCATCATACGGTCATTCAGCTGTAGGGGTAAAGGGCATATATGGATGCACAGCAGTGATCATAGCATCCGAAAAGGGTGTATACATCTCACATATTTGGGAGAGCCCTGTGTTTGTTGACGAGGCTCTCAATCTAACTGATGACAGCTTGTTCACGATAACTGCGTTCAACTCCCTGCGAAACGGAACCGTATATGCACAAAGTGTGATTGATTTGATCGGGACTGATCATAGTCCTGGGGTCCTGAATGCAATCTACGCACCCAAAGTGTTTGTTCTCACACCCTTCACCACAGATTGGGATCGACGGAACTTTGGCATTTCCACCACACTCAGATATCAAGCGCGCGCCGAAAAGCTCGCGCAAAAGATAACAGATATTGTTCCTGGCTCCGGCGGAAATGGCATCATCCTGGGTTATACACGCACGAGTCGGCAGGCATCAAGTCAGGAACCAGGCATTGCAGGAAGAGCCATTTTGGAGATTGACCCCTTTTACACATGGCTCACTACACCATACGACACAAAGACGGCGGGTCTTCAAATTAGTCGTTGGTGTCTGTGGGTAGAGGACCAGCTGATTACTTACCAAGACTTCTGGCTTCCTTGTCTTACAGCTCCTGAGGTACTTCTTGACGAGACATTGACTAACAAGACGTTTATTACACCAAGCAGAGCAAGAGCTACTCCATATTTTTGATATCATCTATGGGTTTTCAGTGCATAGATTATAACTTCGTTATCTCTCCAATTCCAAATCGGCATTACACCATGGATCTTGAGGTCTCCGTTTTAGATTATCTCTCAGACTTACCGTTTTAGACTCCGGCCCTGGTAGCTCTGGTATAAATTCAAGGAGTGTGACTATTGTTCGAGGCTTACCGAAGCATAGGTATCCTCCATCCCACAACAATTTATTTCTAAGAGCTTTACGTCACACCCAGTCTCATCAACATTCAATACCGGGAACCTGAACATTCAAATTGGAGTCGAGTCCTGGATACGTAACTGCTAGTAATTCAGATTGTATTAACAAAGCATACTTGAAAGGCGAGTGCAATATATGTAGATTATCGTACAACATATGAAGTAGACATTGTATACATAGAGAGCCAAACAATGCAAATAGCATGACGTCACCAGCACACCCTATTCCCAAATCACGTGAGGACACCAGGTACCAGAAAAAGCATACATAACGTAGATAGAAATAGGGCCAGAGAAAAGAATCGTGGTCACGACTAATACTCTCTATAAAGGCGTCAAATACAATACTGAGGGAACAGGAAAATTAAGTCTATGGACGTGATTTCCTAATCGGGAGGCCGACTCGTTGATATCTGCGAGCACAGCCCACAAGCCCGGAGTCACTCATGGAAAAAGAACATTCGCGTGGCCATAGAGGAGGCTGAGTGAAGTCCCATATTATGACTCAGAATTATAGCTAGTTCAACATCTAGATATAAAACTGACGACGAAGCCCATGGAGTCCACATAGTGCCCGCATTACTCCTAGGCGGTAAGAGCCCACTTATCAGCGTCATTGGAGGGGCAGCACGGTCACAATACACATTCTTCGCCCAGCCTGTCATGGTTGACACGACTCAAATGGAGGAGCTCTTGAAAAGGCCTCTCTATGGTATGCCTCCAAAACTCTATATGGTCATTGGTCCATCCCGCTGATCTTTCCAGTGTACGATCTGCCGCCAGAACTTCTTGCAAGCCTAACGGCCAAGACCACAAGCCAACCTGTCGCCGAAGAAGAACCCGCACCCTCTCCGACAGAACTCGAACTGGCAGCGCAGGACTCTGCGATCGCAACCTCCACCCTATGCTCACTTTGCAGGGTCTCTTACAGCAGTGTACAGGAACAGCGCAGCCATGTCCGCTCGGACCATCACCGGTATAACATCAAAGCCCAGCTGCGTGGGAATGCGCCTCTGGAGGAAATCGAATTTGCAAAGGCGATCGGAGAGCTAGACGAGTCTATATCCGGTTCTGAGTCAGAGGAGTCAGAGGAGGAAGATGCAAAAGGGGCCGCGGGCACAACGCTGTCTGCCCTGCTGAAAAAGCAGGCCAAGCTGTCCCACCCAAATGAGGACCCGGAAATGACCGAGACACCAATGACTCCGAAGCACCCCATATTCTGGCTATCTAGCTCGGGATTGCCATCAAACAAGTCCCTAGGCGTCTACCGGGCCATTTTCTCAAATGCCGAGCAGGACGATCCCGCGCACCTGGTTGATACTCTGCGACGGAAGCAGCTTGCACCAATCAAAGCGCGCACCAACAAGGAAAGCAACGTGCCAGACCCCGCTGCTTCGGGCCCACACATTTTCATGTGCATGATCGGCGGTGGCCACTTTGCGGCTATGTTGGTTTCTCTAGCACCGGAGATTCACCGAAAGCAAGGCGGAGTGGAAGACCGACAAGCTCGGGTTATTGCGCACAAAACATTCCACCGATACACGACAAGGCGAAAGCAGGGTGGATCGCAGTCTGCCAGTGATGCGTCACGCGGTGCTGCCCATTCGGCTGGTTCAAGTCTGCGCCGATACAATGAGGCTGCGCTTGAGAAGGATATTAGAGAGGTGTTGTCGGATTGGCGAGAGATGATTGACACAGCCGAGCTGCTGTTCGTCCGAGCTACGGGAAAGACGAATCGAAAGACCCTTTTCGGTCAATATGACGGACAGGTCCTCAGGCAGAACGACCCCCGAATTCGAGGGTTCCCCTTCAATACTCGCCGTGCGACTCAAGGGGAGCTCATGCGGTCCTTCAAGGAGTTGACCCGATTGAAGGTCAGCGAGGTGGATCAAGCCGCACTGGCTGCGGCTGAAGCCAAGCGGCGAGAGGAGGAGTCAAAACCATCTACGCCTGTCCAAAAACCGCAACCACAGAAGCCGAAGCTTTCGAAAGAAGAGGAAGCTGCCTTGTTGCACACATCCCAACTACAGGCACTCATTCGCCGCTCAAAGGTCCCAGCCCTCATGTCCTATATCTCAAACAACTCCATACCTCCATCTTTCACATTTACGCCCGCCGACACGCCACAAAACTTCCGATGCCCCACGCCCCTACATCTCGCCGCAAATCATGATGCACCAGCCGTAGTCACGGCCCTCCTCACAAAAGCCGGGTCTGATCCAACGGCAGTCAACAACGAAGGCAGAACTCCCTTCGAACTTACCGGCGATCGAGCTACGCGCGATGCCTTCCGTATTGCCCGTCACGATCTCGGCGAGTCAAAATGGGACTGGGAAGCAGCCAAGGTTCCATCAGCAGTCTCCAAAGCTGACGCCGAAAACCGAGCTGAAAAAGAACGCAAAACTGCCGAGGAGGAAGAATCCGCCCGGCGCAAGGCTAGCTTGGAGCGCCTGAAACGTGAGGAGGTTGAGAAGGCGGCGCAACCGAGAACGACCAAATCTGGTCGTACCGTGGGCGCTGTTGAGAAGTCTCTAGCCGAAAGGAGAGATGAAGAGACTAGAGGTATGACGCCTGAGATGAGGATGCGATTGGAGAGAGAGCGCAGAGCGAGAGCTGCGGAGGAGCGCTTCCGGAGAATGCAAGGTCAATGAGGTCTTTCTGTATACCCTTTGAGCATTGATGTTTTGACGGCGTGACTATCGCCATGAATATTCCATTCCTAAGTAGATATTGGCTCTGGGTTTGCCATGGGGCGAAAAAAATGTTATTCATCTTTAGCATCTCTTTATCTTCCTCACCAGTCCGGTAGTTACTCGATACATTTTGTGTACCAAAAGTCGTGTGGTAGCCACCGCCATTATTCCTAGCAATGAGCTAGAAGCTCTCTAGTTTGAAGCAAGCATGGAAAGGGATTGCAAAGTTGAGAGCTAAGAACACTAGTATGATCGATGACAATCCTCGGAAAAGCGAGAAGTTACTCCATCGCCACCCAATGATCACCCCTAGGAAGCAAGTTACACAGGCAATAGTTCTTGATCCTTCGGGCATATGGGCCATGGCCCACAGAGGGACAGGAGGGGGCAAGGGAAGGCAACAATAGCTCTTACTAGGACCACACGGATAAGGAGAGGAGAGGAGGGTTTCCACCGTTCATTGGGCACTATGAAGCCAGGGTCCAGTGTAGTAAGCCCACTCCTGCTTGCGTAGCCTCCTTATCCTTATCCCTGTGTCTCGGGTAGGGTTAGTCGTCACTGTAGAGGATAGCGGGCCTTATCGTGTGACTGTGAGAGTAGGGCAGGGGGGGGGGGGGGGGGGGTTAGGGGGAGAGAGAGGGGAAGGCTCGATACAGAAATAGGGAGTGCTGATCGATAGCGAGCGTAGAGAAATGGTCTCACTTCCAGGTCAATGGTTGGTTGAGTGATGGGGAGGTTGATTGTTGTACATATGACTTGGGGCAGATGGCCTCGGTTTACAATTCGAGTGGCAAACCTGTGTTGTGGGCCAGGCTCTTGCTCCATATAGCCACTGAACTGGAAAAGCCGTGGTACATCAAGTGTGATTCTGTAGGCCCTGTTTTAGAAAGGGTTCTGATACCTATCTGGGGCGAAGTAATCGAACATAGCCCCTAGACCCATCAGAACTTCCTATCAGCTGCAATGGTAATCTCAGGGAAAAAAGAAAAAGCAACAGTGCACAAAAGCTAGACCTTAGAGGGATGATCGCCCATGGAACCACAAATTGGCCCAGACGGTAAGACAGGGAGAGAGTGATGGGGCTATATTGAGCAATGTCTGAGGCGATGAGGTAAAGGCAAACCTCTGAAACCTAGTATCTTGCCATACGAAGCTAAAGGCGAAGCATAGAGGGGCAATACAATCCCAGCCACATTTAGGGCAAAAGCCCATCAAAAGAATGTGGAGATCTACAATCAGCCCCGTGGGAAGGGGCTTATGTCTTGCATCAACGCCACAGGGTCTTGCAGGACCTCGGGAGAAGCTTAGATGGCATCCATACAGGTGGATAGACTCGAGAGAAGGAAACCGTGAAAATTAGGAACTTTCATTCTACTGTGTATATTCTGTGTTTATTGCGCCGTACTCCGTAGTATAGATTATTTCTTTTTTTTTTTTTTTTTTTTTGTGCCTTGAGTTCGCCGAACGTTGAGCCTATGACTCTCGGTGGGCTATCCCTTGCATGAGATTGGATTTTGATCAGTGGCTGGGGATACGGGTCTTAGAATGGAGGCTACTCCGTACGGAGTATTTTGAAGGCTCTCCACTCGGTATTGTGGATAGGAATAGGACCCTTTGGATAGTCATGGGTCTGATAGTGCCGTCAGCCCTTCTAGTTAAACTGGGTTACAAGGAGCAGCACCCCTTTTCAATTGACTCAAATGGAATATATTGACGTATTTGTATATCGCCATAACAATGAGTCTGTGTATTATGGATCTGTAGAAGGCTTGTTGGGCGGCAGTGTGCAGCCAGTCTGCACCCCGCAATGTAGATGCCGAGCTCTGCAAAGCTCTGCAAGATAATGCAGGCTGTATCTTTGCACGAGTTGGCCGGATTACGCTGTAAGGGGAAACAAGGGCAGTCAAGAGTTTCTTACAGTATAGAAAAACCCCCGAGCGGTATGACCCTTCCTACAGGGCACATGGCATTCTGAGCATTGACCCAGTGCTTTCACACTATGCATACTATACTCCATAGGTCGAGTATACTGTATGAGACGTTTTTAGGGCATTCAAATTCTTGGCGCGCCGCGTCGCGC